TGAAATCTGCAGCGTTAGCAAAGCACACACCACTTGTAAACGATCCAGTTGGACTCATGAGGCTGTTTCTCCTGATTCACAGCCTGAAGCAGAATGTTTTTGGGGACACAGACTGTAAATCCTCTGGAGGATAACTTGGTGTCCACCCAGCGAGTCCTAGTCAAGCACTGTGAGTATCCATGTGCACACAAATGACCAGTTCCCATGTTCACTCACACAGATGAGATACCCAAGGGCTGGAGTATCCCCAGGGGAATGGGGGAATGGCTAATTAAATAAAAAATGTGAACAGTAACAAGTAGTGGTGGAGACAGTGGCTTCTTCCCTCCCTTTGTGACTTTATTGGAAGCACATGGTCAAGTCTGTTGTCATGACCATCTCCAAAAGCTCTCTCAGGCACTTGCCCCTTCCTCCTGCTCTGGTCCTGCTGAGGGCAGCCCCTACACATCCAGCTGTTCTGGGATGTGCAGCACTCCCACCCCTCTCCTCTCTCTCCCAGTGCCACCAGGACTCACCCATGGGCTGGATGGTGCTGGAGGAGTTGACATTTTGAGCTGATGGATCTGTCACACCTCCTTGACCATCCAGTAAGGACTGCACAGCCAGCACTGTCTGATTATCCATTCCTGAAAGGAGACACAAACACGGATGGTGAATTGAACACAGCCAAACATGGAGTGCTTGGGCACTGGGAACTTGCTCCCAGGTCATGGAGGGAAGCAACTCTGCAGCTGCTGCTCTCTCCTCCCACAGAGCCACTCTCCCCTTCTCACCCTCTACTCCACAGCATCAACCAGCACACCACAGCAACACTCCCACCTGTCTCCATAACTCCTTTGGCACAGGAAGAAAAGGGAAGAAGGGCAAGAAAAGCCAAAAGAGGGCTTGGTTTGCTGCAGAGAGGAAGGATGTTTACAACTAGAGCTAAAAAGCAGGTATTGGGATGTCACAGAGCAGCAGTCTGGGTGGATCTGCCTGGGGACACAGCGTGATACAGCACAGACAAAATCCTTGTGTGCAGCAACTCCCTCAGCAGCAGTGCTAGAAATGCCTCCCTGTTTTCAAGGCCAACATTCCCGGATCTGACCAGACCCAGGGCACACACCCCCAGTCAGATCTGTTGTCAGAATCAGCTTACTCACTTTGGCACAAACATTTTTCACTACAGCTAAAATGTTCTAAAATATTCCAGATAAATACAGGAGGTGGGGACTGCTCATCTGGGGAGACAGCCTGGCCAGCAGCATGTGACCAGTGGATTAAGCCTGAGACACTCTTTCTTTATAGAAATCAGATGTAAAAGACAATCTGATTTGGGGATTTTTATGCTCTACTCTTCCCTACCATTCCTTTATGACAAGGAACCCACAAATAAAACAAATAGCATGGCAGGGTTGTATGTGATACCTTGTGGATTAAGAAAAAGAAGACAAGTGGGGGGTTTCTTCAGTTGCTTTTCATTTCTCTTCACGTTCTTTGCAAACTAAAACTGTAAAGCTCTGAGCTCAGAACTATGCGCCCCAGTAAAAGCAATTCTGTTGCTCTGATTATTCCCAAGCAGGGAGGTGCAGACCATTCCTGAGGTGAGGACTGTTCCTGAGAAGAGAACAGCTCCAGGAAGGACAGTGGAACAACGTAGCAGAGCCCAGCACAGCAGGAGAACCCACCACTCCAAGTTCCTCTTGTAATCCTAAAATTTCTCCTGAACAACTGGGATGTTACCTTCTTGATGGGGAGTGCCCATACAATCTACAGCCTGTTAAAGATACCCCAAAAACTTGTTTCTCTGGCATCTCCAGTGTGAAGCAAGTAACTGAGACTCTATGAACACCTTTTCCATCGTTTCACTGAGGAGAGGTCGCAAACACTGCTGATGTTCCTGGTGGGGAGCAGAGCACTGTCCTCCAAGGGCACAAGCAGCTACTGGAAAGCAGCAGATCCCACTACATCTCACACTGCCCCAAAATTCCCACCATGCCTATGGGAAGCCTTTCACATAAATCACAGGGAGGCACAGCAAAGCTGCAGGTCCAGTTCTGCAAGCCTTGGCTTGCCTGGAGAGCTGGAGCCAGCCCAGCAGGTCAGCCCCGCCGGGAGAACACCGCTGGAATGCTCCTGGAGGATCCCAAGCCTTGCTCCACAATACACCTCCCCTAATAACCCCTGGGCAACTGCAAGGGCAGCACTGCAGGCTCCTGCTGCAACAGCCACACCAGAGAGTGAAATGGAGCAGCCCTTCTCCAGCAGAAATAAGCTAAAAGGAAAAGAAGGATCGAAAACTCAGGTTAAGTATAGAATGGGGATAATTAAGAAGTTTGTGCCAAGGGTGCCACTCTTGATGGGCCTGGCACTGGACAACTGGGTTTCTCTCTGGCACCCAGTCAGATCTTACAAAGAAAAAAGCCAAAAGACTTGATCCCCTTAAGAGGAAGAAGCTTGAGGAGAGGCCAAGACCTGTAGACAATGATGCAGCAAGATTGTCAATGCTGCACTCAGCCTCTTGATTGGGAAAAGAGGCCCAGGACAAGAGAAATATGCTGCCCTCATTGATTTGGCAATTCAGGCAAATGTCCCCAGAGTCCCTGTTTCGCAGGGTAACTGCACAACACCACACTTCCCAGAGGGAAACCCCTGAGGTCAAGGTTAGTAACCCACAAACACAAGCTGGCAGAGTTACGTGGTTAAGCAGATGCTGTTCTCAGCCACCCACAGACTTCCAGGAGAAACCTTTGGATGGAGCCTGCCCTGCCTGCAGCCAGCACCAGTATGCAGGATGGTCTTAACAATCATGAAACTTAAAAAACCCAGCCACTTCTCTCCTGGCACAGCAGGAGCTGAGGTGCCCAGAGTCTGACAACAGCAGGGTGATTTGGGGAAGCTGGGATAAAAGTACAGGACAACTGATTTGTGCTTTTTTTTTTTTTTCCCTTTCAAATTCCTCTCAGCTGGAGGTGAAACGAGAGTGTCCATTTCACCCAGGTGCTATTCTTCCATCATGCATTGACCCTTCTCTGCTGACACCAGCACCAGGTGCTTTGGTGACAGGTGAAGATGCCCCTGTGCCCCACAGCCTGCTCTCAGCATCCACACAAATGCCAAGTCACCATCCACTTGTAATCACATCAACAAGACAAAACAAACAAGCTCAGACACCAAAAGCTGCTAAAATTTGCTGAAAGGTTTTGCTCTCTTGAATTCTGCGAGGAAATTCACACCACGAGGAGCTGATTGCAGAGGAAACAGGGACCTGATTCTGCACAGGGTGCTGCCAAATGCACCGAGTAACCTCACAAAACAGAGAAATGTTTCTTCTCTGCTCCTCTCTCTGCTGCTGCAATCACAGGGGATGTTTGGAAGCGTGGGTGACAATCATGATGCCAGGCCTTCCACGTCAGCTGTGCCCCCACGTAAAGGAAAATACATCTGTAACCCAGATTAAGAAATCAATGCCTGAGAAATAGTTTCCCCAAACAGGCTCAGACTGGCAAAGCTTGACACGTCCAGGAGTCCCCCTGGGATGGCACCTGCCTGCGACAGTGTCCCAGTGCCAAACTGAGATGAATTTGAGCACAACCCGTTCACCCACACAACGGGCGCTCTCTGGGCTGTGCAGAGGGCACAGACACCTCCAAAATACACATGCAGGGGCCATCACTCCCTGGGCACCATCCCTGGGGCTGGCAGGGAGCGTGGCACAGCAGTGTGAGCCCCGGGGTGAGGGGAGGATGGGGGACCCCAGCATGCAGGGGGTGACCCAGAGTGCTGGGCACAGGGACAGGGGAGAGGCAGACGAGTCACAGGGTGCCCTGGGGATTGGGGATCCTGTTTCCTGGGCACAGAAAGGAGGGTGGTGGGAGTGCCCCGATGTGCAGGGTAGAGGGGCAGGGAGGGCAAGGCGTGCATTGGGGCATCGGGCACAGGGACAGGGATGGGATGGGGTGCCCTGGAGCGCTGGGCACAGGGACAGCGATGGGATGGGATGGTGTGCCTCGCGGTATCGGGCCCTGGGGCAGGGAGGGGCTGTGGTGCACAGCGTCCGTGGCCAACGAGGGCTACCCGGAGCACAGGGCACAGGGATGGGCAGTGCGGGCACGTCCCGGCGCACAGGCAGGAGGTGGCACCGGGC